CTCTCTCTCTCTCTCTCTCTCTCTGTGTGTGTGTCACACACACACACACACACACACACACACACACACACGCACAGGCGCGCACGGACACACTCTCTCTCTCTCTCATGGTTCTAAGACCACAAAAAAAATGAAAGCAAGAGAGACACGAATAACAAACTCACCATCAGTCGTCAAGGTGCGGTCATTCGAAAGCCTCAGCGTCCAACATCCAGAATGTAGAGATGGTGTGTCCTGGGTGAGTGTGTGTGTGTGTGTGCATGTGTGTGTGTGGGTGTGTGTGCTCTGTGTGGGTGAGTTTGAGTATGTGTGAGTGTTGTCATATTCGCTATACAGAACTCACAAAATGACTCAGTCAGACTGTTTCCTTGGACTTCCACTGACTCATCAGGAGGTTGAACCCCGCCAATCTGCCCAAGATGAACTGTACGGATGGCCAAGGACTCACCACTTTTGCTTGTGTGTGTGTGTGTGTGTGTGTGTGTGTGTGTGTGTGTGTGTGTGTTCCTGTGTGAGTGTGTGTGTGTGTGTGCGTATGTGCGTGCGTGCGTGCGCATGTGTGTGCGCGTGCGTGTGTCCGTGTGCGAGTGTGCGTGTGTCCAACGTAGAGCGAAGTCGTAGTCGTGCATAGCAGCGTAGAAGTCGGTCAAGTAGCTTGAGTGCCGAAAACAGGCGTCGACTCGAGAGTAGCACCGGCGTCGACTCTAGAGTAGCGCATAGTAGTGTAGAGTAGCTCAGTCGAGTAGCTTAGTGTCGAACAGGCGTCGACTCTAACTCGCCGTCCAGTACACCTGCCCTCAAGTCGGCAGTGCGCGTGCCCCAGAAAGTAGTTTCTATACATTGTAGCGGCGCCGGACCGGTAGCGGCATTGGACTGGTAGCGTGTCACGCGCAACCTCGGTACCACGTGCGGTAGGGCCGGTAACACGCTTTGGTACCGACGCTGGCGCGTGTGCCCGGTACAGGCCCTGGCGTGGAGCTGCCCGCGACAGTTCAACTTCTAACAGCAAACGATCAGCAGACGATCGGGACCGTCGCGGAGTGTAAAATCGCAGGGCCCCGATCGTCTGCTTGTCACAAGCCGAAAATTAGCGATAGTTATATACCTAGGGATTACATGGGGACGCTACCTGACACAAGAAGGGCCAGCTCGGCTTTGTCCACATCAAAAAGGATTATGGTCTACGACGCAACAACTTGGAGAAAAAGTAGAAGAGAAGGTCACAAATGGAATGATTGATGGGAAAGCGACACAGCTGTCATTGATGTCCATAGCCTCCAGATAATGTTGGTTACATGCGAAGTGAAAGTCAGAGGGTTAACAAGTTAGTGGGAAGGGAAGATGACCAACGGGCCCATCTCAGTTCGTACACACATGAGCTGTTGACATAGAGAGCTGAGTTCGAGTCCACGCGGGCAAGATGAAGGAAATAAGTGCAAATGTGCGAAGGGAAAATTGGCATCAGAAAGACAGGCAGCCATAATTCCAACAGTAGAGAAGCTGAGGAAATGCAGAAGGGGTGAGGCGGGGTGTGAATGTTCGGAAGAGTCCTCACCTCGTTGTTGATGGTTGTCCCAGAATGTGAAGGAGGCATAGCAAGATGCTGTATGGGTAGTAGCAGACTTTTGGGAGTAGTGGGATGGAACCCCCAAGGGAAAGGAAATTTAAGAAAAAGCCAAAAAGGTAACCAATGTAGATATGAAGTATTATAAACTGAAAAGTTCATTACAAAGGAAAAAGAGATTAATTTTTCATTTCTTTTCTTTCTTCTTTTTAAAGAGATTGAAATTCAAACTATGTAGAGTGAGTGCAGCATGGAAAACTGTCGGGGCAGAGAATTGAAAATGACATGGGCTTGATATTATTTTAGAGAAACAGAATGTGCATCTCATTGCCGTTACAGAAACAGAATTATTCATTTACAGAAAGAAAAATGATATTCCATTGTCATGTTATATACGTGATCGCAAAATGTCAACTTATGTACAGGCATGGAAATGCTTTGTCAGTTATGGAAATTGAAGTCTGATGTAGGCAAAATGAGCACTAGGCTGCTGTTGCACCTAGTCTCCAGTTCTAAGTTCTGAAAGGCATTCCATAATGCAGACCCAAGGAAAAAGTCCCAATACCACCCAATGTGCAGAATCTGTTAGACGAGTTCGCCGATGTGGGAGAGGCATCAAGTGGAGTAGTTGAGATGGAGACCAAGCACCGGATAGACATAGAACCCGCTAGCAGGATTCCCAAGGGCCCCATCTATCGGATGTCTCCCAAGGAACTCGATGAGCTGCGCAGACAATTAGATGAACTAAGAGAGAAAGGGTGGATTAAGCCAAGTTCCTCGCAATATGGTGCACCGGTGTTGTTTGTGCCAAAGAAAAAGAGTGATTTGCGAATGTGTAATAGACTATAGGGGTCTCAATGCGATAACGATAAAGAATGCTGAGACATTACCACGAATAGACGATCTTCCGGATAGAGTGCATGGTTGTAAGTATTTCTCGAAGATGGACTTGAAATCGGGCTGCCATCAGATTGAGGTACTGCCTGAGGATTAGCACAAGACGACCTTTAGGACTCAATATGGCCACTGCAAGTTGGTGGTCATGCCGTTTGG